TTAGAAAGCCTGATGTAAGTTCTGTTATTATCTCCATTTTACAGCCACCTAGAAGCTGACTTATCTGAGATCACACAGGCAGCAAATAGTGGAGCCCAGACTCTTAGCTATTATTCAGACAATGTTAAAAACATTTTTTTTCAAAAGATTAATAAAATAAAGCAGAGAATGGTCAGCACAGTGACTAATAATAGGCTACTAATAAATATTACCCAGCATTATAATTAATTAGCAATAGATATGTGAAAGTTATTCCTATATATGCAACATAGGAAAATACTAAATCCTACCAAATTACTTGTTCATTCTTTCATGGCTTTTGTTTCAGACCAATTTATAAGAGGCCAATTCTGTGGTTACAGACAAACTCTAAAAACGTCATTAGAAACTTCTTTATTCACAATGTCCCTTAATCTTCCAGAAACTAAATCTTGTGCAGAATGTAAACAATAATAAAGTTATATTACCATGTTTCTATTGACAACAGAATATTTCACCACAAATATATAAACATGGCCTATAAAATACACCCTCAAACCATACTTTTATACATATTTGCCCCACTTTAGATATTTCTTGTAAATCAGATTTCTTAAAAATAATCTAGTTAGACAGCACTCTATTTTACTAAATTAAAATGACAGTGAGAAAAACAAATCCAGATAATTTACTAGTGTTCTAAGCTTTGTAAAACTGATGAAACAGCTTAAAATAGATTCTGCTAATTTATAAAACTGAATCTATTATCCTAAAATATGTAAGACACAGTAAATTTTAATGCAGAAAATTAATTAACCTAATTCAAGATTGTATTTGTTATCACCTTGGAAATCTGATATACCAATTCAAAATTACTATTTGAATTACCATCAGAATTCCTGAAACCCTACATGTAGTGAAGATTCCAGTCGCATCTGGTTTTGTGTCACCTAAAGACAAATCTTTCTGTTTCAAGAAAAGTTTAAGCTTCTTCTTGAGTTTGAGCCTAAGTTTACAATACAGAAAACTCAGAATTAGAGTTCTGATTTTCGCTTGCTCACACTTTTTTGGCCTTCCTCACTCCTTACTCCAAGACAACCAAAAATAAACACTCAAACCAGCAATATATGAACTGACCAATCTTAAGCTCCCATGGACTTAAGACAACCAGAGAAAACAAAGATGGAAAGAATCACTGCTTCGCAAACAAGGCCTTAATTACATACGTAAATAAAAATCCTTTTAGGGCCACAGCCCTGAATCCTTCCAAGGAAGCTTTCCCAACTACTTCTCACACTTAAACACAAATATCAACACAAAGCCTTTACCACATAGAGGCTTACACAGATGCCCAAACATTACAAATCCTCTCAGATTTGATGCTTACCTAATAGAAGTATCATCAAGAAGCCTATTTCTTAAAATCTATGCTTTAACGATCTCTCCAATACATGTAGTAGAATAATACATTTCTATTCCATCTTGGCCTCACAGACTAACAGTCCAAAGGAAGAGAGGAAACAGTTAAAATACGCGCCATGATTGGTGTTTTCATAACCATCCATTAGTGTCTTCTAGGTCAAGCTTGAGTTGTTTAATAGTAACAAAAATATGCATTAATTCATTTGGAAACATATCACTTCCTACAGTGCTTTCCTCATTGCAAGTCAAGCATTCATTTATGCTACTATTTTCTATTTTTACCTGTTTATATTTTTATATTGCAAAGATGTATAAACCGGGTGAAACCAACCAATGGTTAACTGAAACAATAACAACTCACAGAGGGGTTGGAAGGATGTATAAAAATATGAATAATTGAAAGTTTTGAAATATGAAACATTCAAACAACGCTTATAACTGAAGAACATTTCATGTAGGAAACAAAAAAGCACAGTACTTGAGGCTGTAGCTCAGTGTCTTTCTGTCTTTATCCCTTAGATGAACCATGAAAATAGGCACTAGCCTGTGAGTACAGAACCTACAAACATTGAGTCTTATGATAATTTGGCAGCAGACTTAAGAAGAAACTTAATATTCTCTGCCTCTCCATTCCATTTCCTTCTTGTTTGTTCTTCAGATGAAGTTATGGTTTTTGATACAGGAGATTTTCTTGTTTTCTTAGCCTCATTATAGGAACAAGTGGTGGCAGGAAATAAAAAATATCTCTGAGTGAAAAAAGACAACCTATATAAATACAGGCAAAGCCAACAACTGTGCAAACTAAATGGAAGTTCTGTTGACCTAATTAATTTTGATTGGGCTGAGATGATTTTTAGTTGGGCTGCAGAAAAGTCACTCAAATATAAATCATGGCATACGTAGCTGGAAATATTCGTTGCAGAATTAGGGGAGGTGATTGACATTTTACAGACTCTTAATTGTAATGAATTTCTTGATTTTATTCCTTTAATTCATTGGTAAACACTGCTGTTTTCAAACTAAATAAGATTTCAAAGAAGAAACAGGAAAATCTATAATAACTATATGCCAGAGAAATTTGCCAGACATAAATGAATTCACTAATTTTAAGCTTAACTCCTCTAGTGGTGACAGAGAGGAATGAAATAGATATGAGACATATAAGCAGCATGATAAACTGATTCACACACTTAATAAAAACCTAGAACTTTCTAAATGCACATGTAACATCGATCATGAGGGAAGTTTGGGTCCCTATTTTCAAACTGGGTACTAAAATAAAACAATATCCCAGTAGATTGAGAAACTTCATTTATTCTAATTTATACCAATACCTTCTAACTTCACTTTTTAACCACCACAACACTTGTAAAGTACATTAATGAAGACTGCCTGAAAACAGGGTGAGATGAGTAATTGTGTATTTGTCTGAAATCAGGTCTAAAAACATTCATTGCCAGGGCATAAAACAATTAATTTTTTTAAGATAAAGAATATAGTCTGTTTATTTCCAGGATTGGTTGAGAAGATCACGTAATTACATAAAATATTTTAATAGTTTGAACTTATTTATGTAAAAATCTAATAAAACACAGTATTCCTAAATAAGAATGTGATATCCAGTTATGAAAAGTAAATATTCAGAAATATATTATCACTCCATATGCGCTTAGAAAACAAACCACACGTCACCCACACGTTACCATCTAAGGGAGAGCCCTAAACACACACTCTGTTTCAGTACTGCGTGGCTCTTATTTCATAGGAGAGGACTTGCCAATAAAATATTGAGAAAATGAAAACGTCTTACTCCTATTCATTTCTTCACATACATAAAGATTAACTATTAGTATTTCTTAATTCCTCTTCCATAGATGTACTGTTGTATTCTATTGAGCAAAATATTTTAACATATTTAGTCTTCCTTATTTTTAAGTTAATTTGAATGACTGTCTTATCTGGACTTCACAGTGATGGAAATGCCTGTTAAAGGTCACCTATGGGCCTTCTGTAGCTCCTGTCAGTGGCTGCCCTGCACGCGGACACTCGCATGAGGCCTGCCACCACACAGACCTGCGGTGGTCTGGGTGACTACATCCACACCGAGTCTGCCCTCCACAGTAGGCATGCTTCACCTGAAGTCAAAGCCCAAAGGAAGAGGAAAAAGGATTGCTTGCTTTTATTTTATTTGCTCTATAAAATCCGCTTACACACCAAAACTACTTTCCTATAAATGATTTAAATTTCTCTGTGATTGCCTATCAAATGAGAAGAAAAAAGTTTCAGATAAAAAGGCATCTCATTCAGAGATAATAATCTGCTACATCAGCAAAGTTTCAATTTTTGATAGTACCCATTTTTCATAAACACTTGAAATGAATGTATTTATGCTAAAAGAAAAATGCAGAATATTGACACACTTAAAAATCACTGTTGGAATAAAAATCAAAGCATCTCATATCAGAAATAACTGATTTTATACTTTTCCTATTAAAAATTATGTAACATTGTACATTTCAAAAGTCTTCACTAATACACATCCGAATATCACACCAAAAAGGACAGTAATTTTACAGCATTTAGTTTTATTTTTTAAAAATTCTGTGATGAAAGATCACCATGGTGACTGAGAAATTATGGTTAAGAGTTTTGTCTATGGATGAAATTCTAACACGGATAATTCATTGAACTTCTAGTGAAAGGTATGCTTTGAGTCATCAAGGTCCTGAGGCTTAGTAACGAATAAATAAACAAAATATCATCTATGAAGAAATAGCTTTTCAATAGTCTAGATATAAACATAATGCAATATGTAACATATATTTCCATATGTTGAAGTTCTAAAAATATGCATAGTACCTAAATGACTGCATAACAGGTAGCAACAATACATACAACTTTATATGTTTAATCTTAATATACATGGATCAAAGTAGGTATTTCTATTTACATAAAGTTTATGTAAATATTCATATGTATTAATTACACAGAAATAATCATAACTGTTCTACATTTAAAGTATACTATTTAATCTTTAAAGTAAACAAATTGTGTGTATATCACCTAAATGATGCTGTGTATTTCATAAACAATACTTTTTACTTATTTATATTTTCATAGCCAAAGCCATAAGAACACTAGGCACACAAATTATTTCATTGATATTTAAAAACAATCCAGTCCAGTGTTTACATTTAAACAAATTCAGTTATATTTAATAACAAAAGGGAAAATAAGGGAAATAATTTCAAGTTTTCATTTCTCATACAGCAAAACAACACAAATTGCTATGCACTGTGGACATGAGCAACAAAAAGATAAAACATACTCAAATGTTAAAAGTGTTATACACACATATATGTATAATATCTATGTGTATATATGCACATGCATTTGGCAAAATAAAACCAACCTATGCAATGTTACAATGTGAAGCTCCTAACAATGAATACTGATTCATAAGTCGCATTATTACTTAAAGGGGAAATATAACAGTAGTTTTATGAATCTGACAACTGAAATCATAACCACCTAATAATAATGCATATGCTGATGAAGAAACAAGGTGCAAAGTAAACAGTGAGAAGGCAGACACTCACCTTCGGTGCCATTGGGAGTCATGGAATTACTATTTATATGAGAGTTATCGAGTTTGGGGCCACTGGGGGATTCGCTACTACCACTCAGACGGCTATGCGGGCTGGTTAGATCCTGCATTTCCATAGACCTAAAGACAAGAAGCCTTCCATTTGACAGATGTACCAAATTCATAACACCACTGTTTAATGCGCTAATGACTTGACACCTTTCTTTGAAACACACTCACACAAAAGTCCCATTGTATGTATTTCTTAGACTCAAAATAGTTCATCTCATATTTTGACTTCAGGCATCCCTTCATCACAGGTACTATCAAAAGATGTCACTTGCCTTACCTACCCAGCCAGTCACATGAAGTTTTCAAAATTTCATGTTTTCTCTTACACAGTTCATCAAGTCACAAAGTCTAATGTGAGACAATGACATCTATTTTAATTTTTGAAGAAAAAACAGTCATCATTTTCTTTTTATATCAAAAAGGACCAAAGGCATTACTTTTCTAAAAAAGGCAACTATGTAAAGAAGTAAAATAGAAATAGATCACTTTTCTGTGGACTCTGTTTCATCTAATAAATTAGCACTAGGCTACTCCCTTATAATTTACCACCCAATTGTAATTTAATGGGTCTCCAAACCAAATAAAACACTTGAAACCTATAGTCTAGTGACAGGGAATGAGATAGTCCTGATGCATGTGTTTACTCTGGCAAACTACTTAATTGTTCCTCTGTTTCCCTTGAAACAAATGCAGCATTAAAACATTATGATGTCGGCTCACTTGTTTGCTTTGTGGATTACATACAGCGTGCCCAATTGAAAAGGGATAAGGCCAATATACAGTGGGTCCCTGCAAGCATTAGCACTCGGAATACCTCAGCTGTCACTTACTCTGGGAAATAACAACAATTCTACTTCAATGCTATAATTTTGCATTTTAACCATATAAAACCAGTTAAATGCCCCCTGAAAGTTCTTAGACTCTGCAGTTACTTATTCTATAAAAGGTACAAAAGCCACTACTCACATTCACAATTTCAAAACTATACGTTTATATTTAATACCCTATTAATAAAGAGAAAATTTATTTAAAGTCACTATAAACATACCTAGACACCATTATTTTCTGACAGCCAATTTCTTAAAAGTTTAGGGCCCATTTATTTTAAACTCTGTATGTTTCTCTAAGAAAAAAGGTGGGAGGAGGTTTAATGTGTACATATATAAAGTTAATACTATTTGCTCCTCACCCTAACAGGTCAATAAAAGCTACAGTCATTTTAATTTAGAGGTTGCACTTACATTGACTGTGGATATCAGTTTTTAAAACAGCTTAACATGAGCCATTTTACTTCTGAAGTGAGTTTTGACTTCCCCAAATTTCTGAATTCAAACTAGAAATGGTCTAAAATCCAGTTTTTCTCTCCTGATTCTCATTACACATTCACAGTTTTCCTAACACTAGAAACTATAGCCCATAATCATTTTCAAACTGAGGTTCCTATTCCCTTTCTACATAGTTAAAATGTTTTACAAGCACACACACACACACAAACTGTTAAGTAATTTCCAACAGAGGCTGTTACTATTAATAGAAATAATTAAGAAACACTAGACAAAAATAGATATGGGTCACAGAAAGGTAATCTTCAAAAATGTCAAATATCAACAATATCCTTACCTGCAACTTGAGGAAACAGCAACATCTGAACTGGCTTGAGATGTTTGCACCTGTGATCAGGGGTAAAAAAATTAGAAGCTGTTGTTACTCTGCTTCAGTGTCAGCTCTTAATTATACAGAGCACATGGCTGAGAACGACAACGCTCTCTTTTAACTAAAAGAGAAAAAGGAGGGTACTGCAGCAGTGAAAGGCATGTTGTCTTTAAGTTGAGGTCTCAACTGTTGTTTCCTCCTGCAGGTCTATCCTCCTCCTCCCCTTGTCAGGGGGGGAAGGCAGCCAAATGACGTGATAGTGATTCATCACTGGCCTATGACAGCTGCAAACGGGATTACCCCTCCCCCAATCAACATGCAAAGCAGCCTTGCCCAGGCAGCTTGGAAAAGGTGCTTGGAAAAAAAATAGCGATTGACAAAATGAGCATGTTTAACAGCAATAGTTTAGGCAGTAATCCGCTAGCATCCTCAGAAGATCTTTCATCTTCTGTTATCACCAGCTGAAATAGAGCTCCCGCCCACCCCTTTGACTCCTGACAGTTTCTTATCCTTATCATAATGGTTTTCTCCTACATTTACTTTTTGTCATTTAACATTCTCTAAAACAGCTTCTGGGCAACTTTTAGACAATGCTGGACTAACCACATATGGCAAAGGCAAGTTTTCATACCCAAAGTCACTCCATTGAACAATGTGCTCATTTACCCTAGCCAATTTAAAATTCAATGAGTTCTTATTCAGTTCTGCCGGGTAAACTAGAAAATGCAGTTAGCTTTTTTTGGTGGATTTTCCATCTTTTAAACTGAGGAAGAAAACGGAAAGTTTAAAAATCAATTTACTATCCTATTAAGCCACGTTTTAGTCTCTCTTGTTTCTAGATGAATCTGTACTTCAGGACTTCACTGAACAACTTAACTAATGTGTAGGCTTTGACAGTCACTGCCCTTCTTCCAGAAGCAACTCAAACTGCCAGCAGGTGATAAAGCTCAGGTGAGGCCAGGCTTGCCGGCTTTAAGCTCAGGCTAACGCCTCGGTAGGAGAGCATTCTGCAAAACGTTTAAAATGGCTCAGAATTCCAAATCTTTGATGTGCATTTTCATTCAACCTGAACTGACATCAATTAGGGTTACAGAACAAAGATGAGAACTGAAGCATCTCAAATGGCATTACAGTTATCCAACCAAACGTCCTCTGTTAAGTCCTGTTATTTTTAAATTATGATATATGAATTAAGAAATACTATCTTTCTTGCAAGAATAAAGCATCATTAAAGTCTAACTGTCTTGGTATAATGTTACATAAAATTTCTAGGTATGTTTCTCCATAATACGTGCAGGATAAAAAACATTTTTTAAAACACACTTGAATAAAAGATAAAAAACTTCAATGCCTACAGATGTGTCATTCTGTGATAATGGCCTTCTACAATTTTTGTAAAAATTAATGTTCTTACGCAAGTTTAAACGGTTTCCTTTAGAAACTGTAGCAATATACCTCAAGGATAAATTTCCTTTTTTTTTCCTCCACTTTTATACACCTGGAATAAATTATAGGTGAGAACTAACTTAGCTTTAAGAACTCTCCTGGCTTAATTATGTGAAAGAGCATTTAAACATTCTTTCTGTTAAATGTTAAAATACATTTCCATTTTAACATTAGCTGGAAAGTACAATCTTGGAAATATAATTTTAGTTTCACTGTATACTTCGAAAGTTTGGTTAGATTTATATTTGTGCTTTAACCTATCATATTTAAATTTCAGAGTCGAACTTGTTAATAAAGAAAAAATGAACTTCAAACCAAGAATTATTCTACCACATTTTCTCACTGAAAAAATGCATTTTCACAACACATTTCTTTTATGCTGGTTCAACTAGACTCTACTGTATTTTCATGCTCTAAAACTTTCGAAAGTCCATATGCATGATCTACATTTCATTAAGTATACTTTAGATATATTCTTTTGTGTCTCAAGGATTATTTAAACCATGTGTTGTGTGTTACTGTATTTAAAAATGACTCTTTAATCAAAATAACTTTAAAACAACTAATCCTCACTTAGGCTGGTCAGCTGAATCCACATCGTGGTCCAGGAAAAATAAATCTACTCTCAAGAATGCGAATGCAGACAACAATTAGACACAGATGTGAGCAAAATTAGTTACAGTTTACAAAATGCTACACTTCACATGCTTTTAGTTTTTTATGTGTAGTACAAGATTACAGTGCAGAAGGAAACATAGTCTTATAATGACTTATCTAAAAAGAACACCTATTTCTGATTGCTGTTGATTACCCCTCATGTTTGATAATATCTCTGGAAGTTTCTGTGTTGTAAAGATCTAAAACCATAATGTGTTTAGAAAATAATTACAGATATTTCCATTCAAAAGAGAAAAATATTATTTTATTGTTTCTAGAAAAATGACGTGAGGCATTGAGTAAGTTCACATTTTCTGCTTTACATCCATAAACCTAGTATGTTTCTTGTCTTCTCCTAATCTGGTATTTTTAATTCAAATACTTCTGTGAGTGCAAAAGTATTTCCCACAACATAACAAATGGTCATCTTATATTACGATCAAGTCACTTCACTTGAATGCTTTTTTAAAACTCATTGTATAGAATACCCATAGCAGCATATTGACAGAGTTGTGAAAATACAAATAGCAACAAGCAGAACTTCTTAGAATTGAAGAATCCTAAACTAGTAACTTTGACTTCTGATTAGTTAATGAGGTCTTTTAAGTTTGCCTTTTTTCTAATTAAATTTATAATTCTTCACAGATGTAACTTTTGTTGATGTTCAATTTGTCTCTCTCATTTTGTTAAACCTCACATAGTACTTCGCCAATCCATTGAATAGCCACATTAAATCTGTTAATACCATGCTCTTCAACCTCAGAAATTATTTCCAGAAGGCAAACTTGCTTTGAGAGATCATCAAACAAGACTTAAGGTACACATTTTATCACATTTTCCCTACCACAGAGCTCAGGATGCAGAGCAAAATTCATGACTTTTGCACTGTTTATTATACTTTGCTAAATTACAAATCAAAAGCATCTGACAGAAGATCATGCATGAAGCCAAAAAGTTAATAATGTTCTGTGAAAAGTAAACTGTAAATGGAAAGGGATTCTAAATCTCAGCAGCACAGAGCAAATAAAATGTAGGTACTTGTCTAAATTATGGGTTTTCCATAGGTTTTTTTTGCTTGCTAGAAGCAATTTTTATAAAATGACTATAATTTAAAACTTTTTTTCAAACTGAAAAGAAATTTTCAAAGTGAAAGTACTGAGCTTATCTAAATAAATAGAGTTGGCAGGCAAGCTGGTTTTGTCCACCACAGATCAACCTGAGTACTCCCAAATTTGAAAGACAATGGCAATTTTCTCATCAGAATGTATTTGATAGAAAAAAAAATTTTTCCTTAGCCATAGATCTGTGTTTTAAGCAGGGTATATTCTTGCTAAAATTTCTCCTCACTCGACATCTCTACTATGGCATCAGTGTTGGAATGAAAACTTAAATTAAAAAAATAAAAACCTAAACCTAAAATTGAAATGAACTTCTAGGGAGACGTAGATGTTTTTTAAATGTTAACACTATTTCCTTCTTTATCAAAGACTCCATAAAATAAATGCTTTAATACTACTGCTAATTATTTTAATGAGGTATACTACATTACTTTTTGCAATACGTCGTTTAAAGAAAATGACAAAATAAAGTCCGCATGAAAACAAGTTTTTAAACCACATGGATGCTACCTATAGCTTTAAAGGGTTGTTTTCAATATCAATTTATTTAAAATGTTGAATGAAATAGTTGTGATATTTGATTAAACAAGTGGTTTTATTCTTGCTGCAAGTGTTTTTCTTCTTTACAATGTGTTCTTACATGATTTTCACAAATGGAAATTTTCTTTTGAGAAAATCACTTATGTCTGAAACTCACACAGCAGTTGACTTCCATTTGGCCCTCTAAAACTGAACAGTGGCTAAATTAGACTTCTCTGTCTGTCACCGCAAAGAATGTGCAAAGACTGAAAATCCATGACTGCTTGCTCACTTACTGAACACTTCGGGCCTTAGGAGAACTCAAGCATGGAGAAAGTCAAATATTAAATATTTGACAATGCAAAAGCAGGACTATACATGTGTGCATGTCCTCAGATTCCAGATTGTTGGAGGAAAATCTCATGCAAGCATAAAATAAAACCTACCTTGAAAGACACATTATAAAAATAATCCCAAACCTGTAAAACTACCCTATGTGCTTAACTATCGCTTTTTTGTATCCCTTGCCCTTTTAAGAAATAAAATGTAAAAATGTTTGTCTAAATTCAATGACAGCTCTGAATTTATTGAATTCTTGCAAATGCTATGCTTAAATGTGTTAAAAAAAAAAAAAAAACTCTTCCCAAGAAATATAAACCCATGAGTCATTAACAATTCATATACTGACTTTGAATGGCAAATATTTTTAAATACTTCAAAAGTTTACGGATCTTGTTTTTAATTTCAAGGTCCATTCAGGCCTTACAAAGTGTCAATAAGAGAAAAATATATTAATTGGGTAAATGTTTCTTATATCATCTTTCGAAGTTAAGTTTGTTAAACATAATGTTTGGGAAATTCGTTTATAGAAACAAAAAGATTTCCTTCCTTAAAAAGTGCTATCAATTTATTGTTGTTATCTGTTGTCCTTTCAAATGTTAAATGCTTCCTCATTTTCACATCAAATTAAAGTGGGTAAGAAAAGTTATTTATGTGTTGCAATGAACATAGATGTACTGCTTTATTCAATACCACACAAATATATTTGAGATTTGTTCAGCAATTCAGAAAAGAGATATGAAGTCATCTCCCTACAAGAATATGGCCCTGTATTATATTTATTTATCTAGAGCATGACAAAAGTAATTGTTAACAATTAATTTGTAATTATCTCTTAATGATCCTAATCACTCATAATTTGGAGGTTAGGAATTCTACTTCTAGGATGGAACCCTGTGGCTCATAAAGTACTAGGTACAAAGTGTCATAATTTTCCCCATGCCATAATGTTTTTCTTTGAAAACAAATCAAAACAATAATAAAAGCGCTCCTGTTAGCTTGGGCTTTGCCCACAGGACAGCTGTTGTCAGTCACTACGATTTTTCAAACAGTCAGCTTGTACTTACAGGGCTTACATCTGCTGCATCCACCAGTTTAATGTGTTCCTTCGAATTTTCTGGGTTAGCAAACCTCCATTCCTGACATAGTTTTGCTCCTGGATGGGGACGCGCGAGGGCTCTCAGGCACTCTGGTGCAGTCGCGGCGCCTCTGGGAGCGGAGCGCCTCTGCAGGGGAAAGCTCGGCGCAGGGGGAAAGCTCGGCGCAGGGGGCAGGCGCCTGGCCGCTGCCGCAGGCTCGGGCTGCCGAGCGACTGAGCGAAAACGCGTTCCCCAGGAAGAAACCCGCCACAGTGGACGGCAACAGGAAGGCTTAAAGTCGGAAGTGGCACTGGAGAGTTTCTACCTCGCCCCAAGCTCGGAGCCATCAGCTCCCACCGTTCTGTTTGGTAACAGCTTTGCGCCCAGCGCTCCGTCCCCACCAAACAGCAGCCGCAGATAGCATCTGAGAACCCTAGACAAAGAAACAGCAGAATCTCATCCCTCGATTTGTTTGCGCAGCCTTGTAGGTCTGCCCATGGAGCCTCGGGGCTTTTTTTTTTTTTTTTTTTTTTTTTTGGTTTTTGCAACGCAAACCACAGCTATTCTCTTGTCCTAACCTTATTGGTTTAAATGCACAATTGAAAGGAGCACTGCTCTGACTCAACCTTGCTGCTTAAAAAAAAATTATGTAAATGAACGCGCCCCACGCTATCTGAATAAACAGCTGTGTGAGAATAACTTCTCTGAGACACGGTCAACACACACACACATCTCCTCTTGCAACAGTAGTTACCAATTAAGATCTTTGGGGAGTAGTTATCTTTTACACTTTTCCAAAACTTTTTTCAGGCCCTAAAACTTAAGGAATCCACTACATTTCAGAATTTCTTTTCTAACATACCTAGTACTGAAACGGGTCTGGGGGAAATAAAAAATAGAATGGCCATTTCCCTTTAAGCAGAAAGCGAAAAAGCAAACGTGCAAGCTATTATCAGTTTCATAATGAAAGCCTGAAGGATGAATCTGCAATGATTTCTAGAATGGCAAGTCTTCGGTGAACAATTCCTTGGCTACGAACCAGATAATGTTTCGGTGTTAATATTTTAAAATGATTTTTGGAAAAGATTCATGTTATCTAGAATTCTTCCTTTACAGCTTATTCTTTTTAAAAAAATTCTTACTGACCTCAGAATCTATGCATGAGAGTCTATAACACTCACCTAAAGAGCTGAGCTTCAGTTAAGATATGTTTTATGTAGATACATGACTTTGGTGATAAGACTTAACCATTGTGTTGATTTGAAATATTCAAAGAAGACATCGTTCATGGGACTAATGATTGTATCTAAATTTTCCAGCCATATACCAACATTCAAATACAAATGTTTATTTTGATACTAGTCACTCATCGTAACCAATTTTGTGCTCTAAAATAAAATCTTTATGCCCATTGGATTTTTCTTAAAACTGTTTTGTCATCACCCATGTAATACTATTCCACTTATTAGGCCTTTTTATTAAAAAATATAAAAAAATCTTCATTTTTTAGGCTCTTGATTGATACGAAAAAAATTTTTTAAATCACAATAACTTATTGCATGACCTTATAATACATTTCCATCTATCAACTAATGAAACACATAGGCACAATCATAACTTTATACTGCTAATTTGTAAATGAAAACACCATCCCCATGCAAACAAAATAAAAAGCTTCTAATGACCAAAATTAATAGCGACTCCCCCCCACCTCCAAAAGTATGCCAGTCTGAGTTCCTCAGAAAAGAACACTTTGTCAAACATAAGCAACAGTTTAAACTGCAAACTCACCTAGGATTTCATTTTGTATAGTACCAGCAAGGAATCATGGGCAACTACCATATTTGGGAGACCAGGTCAAAAAACAGTTGATTGCTATTGGATCTGTTCATATATGCAGCAGAAATAGAATTATGTTACCACCTACCGCACTTTCTCAGACCAGAAATGTCAGTTATTCAATGTACTAAAGTATATATGCAGAGAATAAAATACAGCTTGTAATGGAGATTTCTAGTGTTGCCAGATAAAATGTAATGTTATAGTAATTCAATCTATGATATCAAACAGTATATACTTTTGCAACCACATTTATTTCTAAGCTCTATAAAATGTAAAATTTGAGGTTTAGAGAATTAAACAGTGTTTGAAATTTTACATTTAGCTATTGTATTCATGCTTCCCATTGTTTAAAAATTATTTTAGATGTAAGAGTAATACATTATTTTTTTGATCCATGAAAAGCTATATTGAAAAATCTAGAATATACGAACTATATGAAATCAAAACAGTGGGAATATTATGTAAAGTATGTCATATCTACATACAAGTTACTTGCCCACATTATAGTCAAATGTATCATATTACATGTTTTTATGTTGAAATTTAATTATTTTTATTTATATAACCAAACAAAACATTAAATAAATGATGCGTGTAATTATGAAGAAAATTAGTAAAAGCATGATGAATGTAATGTGACCACTAATTGATGTGATATAGCGCATGCTTCATAATTTTGTAACAAAGAGCTTAGTCAGTGACTAAAAGTAACACCCATGTGCACATTTACTACTTTTAAATAGTTTCCTTTTCCTGAAGCAAAATTAGATGGATTAAAAACAATCACGTTTACCCATAAATGGTGAATGGTTACTACCTCTGAATATCCAGTATGTAATAACTACTATAGCATAAAATTTAAACCCAAAATAAGTTATCCTATGATTAACAACCAACATTTAAGCCATTGTTAACAAGACTAGGTTTGTAGTGTACTGATAGCCTCCTATTTCTAAATCTTCACCAACTATAATTATATTATGTAACTTAACATATACTTTAAGGACTAAATTGTTCCCTAAATACAGTCATACATATAACTACAAAACTTAGGAAAACTGCTGAACATTGCTACTGGTAAAAACAGGTAATAGAATAAAACATTGCTATCTCACATTTGCTGAGGAAATCTCAATACATAAGTGTATGAAAAGGAGTTTTAAAATTTTCCAATGTACTTTTCCCCAATAAAAAATACATAATTTAATCGGGAAAGGGAAAACACTTGAAATATTCAACTATAAGGAAATGTTTGAACATCCTCAAGGAGATGATATCTTTCACATGCTCTATTGCAGGTTTTATCTGACAGAGCCAGCTGTTGCCTAGATACCTGCCTGGTTATACAGAGAAAGTCTTCAATTTTGGTAGAAGGGTTTAGTGTTTTAGGTTAACGGAATGATCACAAAAATAAGCAAAAGTCATATATATGTATATGTGCCATAGTAACTTTTACATATATATGAGAAGAGAGAAAGACAAGAACAGATACAAGGAACTCATTACAACAATCTAAAAGGTAACTTGGACTTTTCTAAAACTTCATGAGTAAACAGTTGATTGACCAAATTAAGTATAACAAATAAACACTGAGAAAATAAAGGATAAAAAACGAGTGTTCCTTTTCCTTTTCATTCCAATAATGAAAATAAAGTTCTTTTACAATTGTGAAGTTGTCAGTAAATGATGTACTCTGAAGTTATTTTTCTTCTATTTGTGTTTACTTTGAAATAACTTTAGAAGTCAGCATTCATGCTATCACCTGGTCCAACAGTTCAGTAATCGCTTGGTTTCTATACTTCTTATGAGATGGTTATTCCTCAAAAATAACAGTATAGTAAGTTGCAAAATATAATCTGCAATTAAAGCCTAACGCATTTTCTTAAAAAGCAAAATCCCAGTCATTATTTCTTCTTCTGCATGATTAAAATCAGTATGTGGAAGTATTCAACATTTTGTAATTCAAACTATTAAAGGTAGAATAGCAAATAGATTATTCCAAAATACTATACTTCCAGTCTTTCTGGTTTCATAAACATTTCTTTTTCTTGTGGTCCATGCCATGGCACTACCTGGCTTTTTGTGGAGCCTTTGGAACCGTGTCTGGACGGCTAACACTGTGACCCTTGCTGGCATTTGGAGTGGTCACTTCCATGACCTGCTCTTTCCCCACCAGCACGAGACCTACGATGAGGGTCCTGTTCCCAGGAGTCTTCTGCTGAAATGCAACCAAGTAAAACATCCTCTATTTATTTTAAGAATGATATTAAATCTGCCAAACTGAATGTCTACCAGTATTTTGTGAAATATTTTCCATTCAAACTCCAACATGATTAGCTTTTAACAGTAAAGAAGGTAATTAGCTATTAGCTGTACCATGGAAAATTATTTTAATACATATTACAGTCTTTATACCAACACAATATGAAAATATAACCTATTTCCTGACTTCTTAAGGAGCACGTTGATTATTACATATGAATAATAACATTTATTTATGTAGGGTGGAAAACTTGTTATCCTATGTAGTAATGACTGCCTATCGGATGTTTTTTAAAAAAATTATTATTCTTAATAGAAACTTTGAGCAGCACTTCTTGAAACTAATAGTGATACCAAGGGCAGTGGTAGATTTTAAGAAAAGGAGATGAGATAATATAGGTACTTAAAAAAATTTGACAACACAGGTTTCCTATTTTAAAATCAACTGATTTTCCAAAATGGCAAATAGTTACTTTTTCTTCTTTCTGTCAAAAATTATGTAAGTGATTGGTCCTGGAAGCATATGTCTAATCTCAGCGATAGTTATTTTGCTTTCTCACGCTGTAAAATGGGTTTCTGTTGACATGAAGCAACCTAAAAAACCCAGCTTGTCTCTTCTTTAAGATTTTTTTTTCCTCTAAGCCATGGGCAAAACCAATCTTGTCAGCACCTCCCAAAACATGTAAAAGGATCTGGAAATTTGCTTTGTGTTTTTCAGGTTTCACGACAGCTGAATTCACAGTTTTTAAATTCTTCGGAAACAATGAATAGCTCATGGAGGAAAGAAGGGAATTGGCATTTATAAAGTGCTTACTACATGCCAGGCACTGTGCTAGGCATTTTATATTCTTATGAATCCTGATTTTTTAAAATATGAGTAATTTTTCCTCACTATTTGTTCTGGAACCTGCTTCATTTTTCTAGCACCATCAAAGTCACTTCTAAACAGTAGATGGAGCAATGGGACATTCATGTCTCCTCATTGTATCATCATTTTGAAGTAAGGTGATAGCCCATAAAGTTAATAAATCCAGAAAGGTATGTAATATTTGACATGATACATATTGATATATACCAAAATAATATGTTCAATATGGGAGAGATAAAATCACCATATAGTAGCTGATTATTCCCAAACACATATTGCAAGTTACTCTGCAGATTTAAAAATAAAATTACATTAAATGGTCAATAGAGAAAAACATCCTTAAACTTGAAATGATCAAATCAGGAGATATGGGGTTTTTTCTCCTTATATATCCAAAAAGGTGAATCATCTTCCTAGAGATTATAAATATTCCCAACTTATTCTTTATATTAAAAAGGAAAAGCAAAGAGTCTGAGTTTACAAGAAGCAATTATATGCACATCTTGTTTTATAGTTATATCAATTTCTTACAATTTGCCTTTCTTAATTTCAGTTACCCAGAATGATATGCTTTGATTTTATTAGTTCTTATATCATAAACAATTTATTCACTGAGGAAATAATTATATTAAAAGTGTACTTTACAACTCGTGGTGCATTTGGATGTATAGTTTAAGTATTCAGAATCAAAAAACTCTATTATTATGATTACAAAGGAATTGCCAGAGAGTAGGGAGAGGGAACTCCCAAACCTAATGACCTATAGAATTTTTTTCTTCCTTCAAGCAGCATTAACTTTTTCTTCCTCAATCTCCCAAATCGGAAAAAAAAGTAACCTCTAAAGCTGTTTTAGACAGAAGGTCAGAATTCAAAGGATCAGTAACTTAATCCACAGTGCACTGCAATCACATCGCTATTGGAAACACAACCAGAAGCACCATTACTCCAGAAGTTTTTATTAAGCAATGTCAATAGGTATACAACCTGGAGGTTTCTCTCTGCTGTAAGGTTACCTAGATTCATACTTGCAAGCAATCAAATTGTCTTGGGTCCTTGGGTTTTACTTTACTATGCTATAGTTTGAGGGTAAAAAAAAAGTAGACTATAAAATACTAAAGAAAACAATAGCTTCAGTTGTTCAAATACTTAAAAGAGAATGCCTTTCTGCAACCAAAATGTAAGTAAGATTAAACATTTTCCAGTCTTCAGATATAATTAAGAAGAATGCTTGTTTTAAATGGTTTAATATTTGGGGTATTCTACTGATTATTGAAACACGTGATTCACGTTCTTTCAAAAAATATAAACCTGGAAAGTATCCTCTGCCTCTTTCAGGGATTCTGTTTTAATATC